AGCGGGGGGAAAGCGGTGCCGACGGGGCGAAGGGCGCCACTGCCAAGCCACCGCCCCTGTGCCGGGCCTCCTCCTCCTCGCCCCCACTCTGCCTGGCGGCGGAGAGGCGGCCAGGGAGCCAGAGGGGAAGCGGCGAACCGATTGTCCACAGAGCAACGAGCGTGCGCCCTCCCTCCAGCAAGGAGGAGGAGCTCACCTGTTAATCCATTCATCACGAATTAAGCCCCTCCTCTCTGCAGAGAGGAGGAGGAGCCAGGCGCCGCAGGACGCGCCGCCATCTCTTCCACACCCTCCTCCCCCCCCTCCTCGACCGCCGCCTCCACCGCCGCCTCGCCCCCCACCTCTTCCTCCGCCGCCGCCTCCGCCGCCTCGTCCGCCTCGTCCGCCTCCTCGTCCGCTTGCGCCTCCGCGAGGACGAGCTCTGCGAGGAGCGCGCCTGGTCGACAAAGAGTGAACCAGGGAAGGTCGAGGGGGAGGGAAGGTCCAGAGGGAAGAAGGTCCAGAGGGGAAGGGTCAGGGAAGGGTCGCCTGGTCAAGAAAGAGTCAATCATGGAACAGCCAGCAACGATCAAGCCCGAGTGAGGGACTCCGCAAGCAGCGCGCCGCAGCCCTGCGCCACCACCACAAGCGGCGCGCTCGGCCCTGCCTCTGCCGCTAAGGCGGACAGCGCGCGCCCGACCTCGCGCCGCGCCGCGCCATCGAAGGGCTCCTATGGCGGGGCGATGCAGCATGACATGCCATACACGAGACGCAAACGCCACAGCCGTAGGGGCCTCCTCCCTGCCGCCGGAACGAGAGGAGATGAAGCGCACGCACCGCGCCGCCGCTGCAGCAGACGGGTCTGCATACACCTGACACCGGCAGCCAGCCGTCACTCAGTCACTCTCGCCGCCGCTGCAGCGGAGAACGGTCCGCAGACACCGAGGCAGCGTGGCTGCCGCCTGCGCCGCCGCCGCCCGCCGCCCCCTCGAGCGACAGCCGGCACGTCGCGAGCGCCGCGGCGGCAGAGGCGGAGGGTGCGGCGCTGGTCGCGGCGGCGGCGGCGAGGGCGGCCGTCTCAGCAGCGCGGAGGTCGTCTCTCGCCTGAGGTTAGCAACTTGGCGGGGAATGAGCTTCGTCATCGCATTCCCTCGCCGTCGCGGAGACGCGTCGGCGCTGCGTCGTCGACGTCGCCTCCGTTGCTCACTGCCCGAGGCAGCGCCACGCTGCTTCGGCGGCGGCTGCTGCTGGCCTGCTCGCGCCTCTCGGCGGACTCCCAATGCGCGAACCTATCGGCATGCTTGAGGCTCTCGGAGAGGATCGCCCGCAGCTCGGCAAGCCCCAGACGTGCGCGCGACCGGAGGACGAGGCGGCCGAGGAGCTTCGCCGCGGCGTCGCGGCCGTGCTTCTTGGCGAGGACGCGTGCCGTCGCCTCGCGCAGCCGGCGGACGAGGCCAGCCTCGGCGTCGGCGCTCGACGACGAGAGCACGAGAAGCACCGCGACGCAGCCCTTCCGCTCTTTGCCAGGCCGCCTCAGCGGCGGCGATGAAGGAGCGGATGAGTTGCAAGAAGAGGAGCCCCGCGAGCCGTCGTCAGAGGTGTCGGCCTCGCTTGGAGCATCTCTGCGCCACATCGTCTCTTAGAGGCCACCTCTTAGAGCCCACAGACTCGCTCTCGCCGCCGCCGGCGGCCGGGCTGCCTTTTTCTCTTTGCTAGTCGGCTCTCTCAAGCGTGTCCAAGCTGGAGAGTGTTGGTTGCTTCTACATACAGCTTCCCTTTTGGAGGCGGTGCTTACTGCTGTCAGTTACGTCCTGTCTCCTGTCGTCAGACTTCTCCTGTCAGACTGTCGGAGAAAGTGCTGTCAGCGCTGTGCGCTGTCACGTGTCAGGCGCTGTCCGGGGTTTGCTGTTCGTTTTCTTTCTTTATTTACTGGGCACGGGACTGGCGCGCACTGGCACTAACCGACAGGTACACCACGGGAGCCGCCTAAGCGACTCCCGCGTGCACGGAAAAGAAAACCAGCTGGGTCCCCGGCCCTGGATGTGCGCGTTACCGACTGCACTCCTCAAGTGCTCCAAGTGCCGTCCCCAGCGCCACACTGTCTCGGCCCCAGTGTCGAGCAAACAAAGACAAGCAGCATCAGCAGTGTAATGGAAAAAGAAATCGCCGTGCGCGCAAAATCCACAGAACGTACCCAGCTACCCCTTACTGCGTCTCGCGCGTGACCGCGAAGCGCAGCACGCACGCGCTGAAGTCGCGCGCCGCGATGCCGTTCGTGTTTCCTGCCGAGTCGAGATGGTGCCGCTCGTGGATCTCGTAGAGCGAGAGGACGAGGAGCGCCGCCCGCGCGCGCGCCGCCGCGGGGAAGAGCGAGTGGCTTGCCGGCGACCACGGCGCCGCCGCCCGCCGGATCAGCGCCGCCGCCTCGCCCTCGCCGCCCGCGGCGCGCTGCAGCGGCGTCGGCTCGCCCTCGTGCAGGCTTGCGCCGCTGCGCAGCAGGGAGAGAGCGCGGGCGGCGGTGAGGGTCTCAAGGTGCGCGAGCGGCGTCCAGCCGCGGCTGGCGACCAGCCAGGCGGCGAGGTCGGCGTGGCCTTGGCGGTTCGCGACCTCCTCGGGCGTGCCAAAGTGCGGCACTGCGGCGCGGGAGGCGCCGTAAGAGGAGAGGAGCTTGGCGACCTCGAGGTGGCCGAAGTGGCACGCGGCGAACAGCGGCCTGACGCCGTTGTTGCGGGCTTGGCCGACCGCCGCGCCGGTCTCGAGGAGCAGCCGCGCGCACTCGACGTGGCCGTTCTGGCACGCGATGTACAGCGGCGTGGCGCCTTGCTCGTCGGCTTGGTTGATCGCCGCGCTGGCCTCGAGGAGCAGCCGGACGATGTCGACGTGGCCCTTCTGGCACGCAATGGACAGCGGCGTGGCGCCGTTGTCCCTGGCTTGGTCCTTCGCCGCACCCGCCTCGAGGAGCAGCCGGGCGCACTCGAGGCGGTTGTTCTGGCACGCGATGAACAGCGGCGTGGAGCCCTTGTTGTTGGCTTGGTTGAACGCCGCGCTGGCCTCGAGAAGCAGCCGGGCGATGTCGAGGTGGCCCTGCCGGCACGCAATGATCAGCGGTGTGGCGCCGTTGTTCATGGCTTGGCCGACCGCCGCGCCAGCCTCGAGAAGCAGCCGGGCGATCTCGAGGTGGCCCTGGATGCACGCGGCGAGCAGCGGCGTGGCGCCATTCTGCTCAGCTTGATCGACCGCTGCGCCAGCCTCGAGGAGCAACCGGGCGCACTCGAGGCGGCCGTTGTGGCACGCGACGTACAGCGGCGTGGCGCCATTGGCCTTGGCTTGGTTGACTGCCGCACCGGCCTCGCGCAGCAGCCGGGCGACCTCGGGGTGGCCGTTCTGGCACGCGATGAACAGCGGCGTGGCGCCACCCTCCTTGGCTTGGTCGACCGCTGCGCTGGCCTCGAGGAGCAGCCGGGCGCACTCGAGGTGGCCCTCCTGGCACGCGATGAACAGCGCCGACGCGCCGCCGCTGCTACCACCGTCGCCGCCCGTCGTCGCCCCGACGCTCGCGCCAGCTTCGAGCAGCAGCCGCACCGCCTCGGCGTGCCCGTGGCGAGCGGCCCAGGTCAGCAGCGTGTCCTGCTTTTCGGTGTCGAGCCGCGCGTCGAGACTGCCGCGCGTCCGCCGGCCGGAGAGGAAAGCGCGCAGCGAGGCGAGGTCGGCGGCGGCGATGTCGGCGAGCAGCGTGGCGGGCGGGGTCGCGGCGGGCGCCATCACCGAGTCAGCGTGGCGGGCGGGGTCGCGGCGGGCGCCATCACCGTTCGAGACCCGGCGGCTAGCCCCGCTCTTTGAGTCTGGTGCGACAAGAATTCGCACAAGGAAGAATTTCAGATTGCTCGGAATGTGAAAATGTTTTTTTCAGATTACTCGGCGAGCACAGATCTCGCCGCTTTCCTCCCGCTGTGATTCTGTGTGAGCTCTGTGTCTTGATTTGCCAACAATATACCTACACACAGATTACTCGGAGTAGGTAGGTAGGTAGAAAGGTGAAGAACAGCCAGGCTCGGACTGGACACCAACGCGGTATGGGTGGACGCTAGACAGATGATGACGACACGCACGAGCGACACACAGACACAAACAGGCTCACAAGACACACAGCCAGCTGGCTGCCACACACCCTGAGTAGGCGTACACATAACTCAGGGCCACATACTCGGAATCGAACAAAATTTTAGGATTGAGAGAGAGAGAGATTTTTAGCAATACCAAACAACTCTAACACTCACACGTAATTTGGGGCCTGTTTTGTGTTAGGATTGTAGATTACTCGGACCGAACAAATATTTCCTCGCAGATTACTCGGCTCGCCTGCTTACCCATTTCAGTCGTGAGAGGGACTGTCTTCTAAAATTCTTTGATGTGCTGTGCGACCGCCTTCGTTAAAAAAATTTTCAGCTACTCGGATCCGCCCGCCACGATCCTGAAGACACATCGCACGAAACCCTCGAGAAGCACACAGAGCATGATCCACGCGTTCGCCGCCTCCCGCTCCCGCTCCACCCGCCGCGACGGGTGGGTGCGCAAGCCGCCTCCCGCAACCATGGGCGACTATCTCCTCGGTGGAACCGCACTCAAGCAGGCTCCGGAGCACCCGACCTCCGCGAGCATCACGAGCATCAAAGAGAAGGTGCTCAACCTCAACGACCAGACCGCCTTCCCTGCGTTTGGCAAGAGCGGCGGCGGGGAGAAGTCGGCGGGAAAGCCGGCGGCGGCGTCCAAAGTGGCGCCCCGGCTCGCAAAGGCGAGCAAGGCCTTTGTCGTCAATTGTAGTGTTTGTTTTGTTGTATCGACTGCGTTTCAACTCCCGTCAGCCGTCGGTCGCGCGCATCCGCATGTAGCGAGATGGGAAAGCGGGTGTAGACGCGGCGTTGGTGCACAGGGCGGCGAGACGTTGTGACAGCAGCGTTTCGTGCGAAGGGCGAGGAGTCCGTGTAGTGGTTGCGCACGTTGGATTGGAGGGGGGCGTTCGGCGGCGGCTTTTCCCAGCCAGATGTTTACTCGGGCGACGGAAATGTCTAACTAATCGGTTTCTTGAGTAAACTGCGACGGAAAGAAATGTGAATGTGGTCCTGTTTTTTTCAGTTTACTCGGGGCCCCGAGTAAACTGCGACGGAAAAAATGTCGAAATGTCGTCCCGAGTAATCTGGTTTTTCAGTTTACTTGGAAATCCGCGTAATGTGAAAAACAATTTCAGATTCCGAGTAAACTGGGATTTTTCCTTCGCAGAATTGCGGGAGAAAAAACCGCGCCAACAACGGCGAAAACCTGCACTAAGACGCAAAAACAAAACAAATCTCCCTGGACGCACTGCGTGGCCGTAAGAGAGAGGCGCAAAGGATAGCCCGGTCGAACACTGCCCAAACAAATAAATTCCCCCTTTGAGCTGAGAGGTTTGGGGATTTCGCTCCGAGCGACGGTCCAACGAGAATCGTCAAAATCAGCAATCAAGAGACCGGTAGCCACCAGTGTGAGTGAGTGAGTATTCTTGATACGAAACCACGACGACACACACCAGTCGACTCGCCTCTTAGAGCTAGTCCGCTCATCTAAAGCTTCGCCGAGACGGCGGCGAGCGTGCCCGGCAAGCGCGTCATGTTCGCGCTCGCGTGGCCCACGTAGTCGCGTCCGAGGTAGAGGTGCCACGCCACGGAGGCGCAGCGAGCGAGGCGGGCAGCACATATTTAGGGTGCCCACAGGGCCCAAAAAAAGAAAGTAAAAAGCACTGGGCGAACTCCGATCGCTGCACTTGTGTTGGAGAGTCGAGATATTGAGATGTGACTGGGAGGGAGGCACGCTGGGGATTCTCAAAGGTATACGCTTGGAATGGCCGGATCCAGCCTTAAAAGTACGAGATCGCGCGCGCTTCGCGCGCTGCACCGCCTGTTCTCCGCGGCTGAATGACGACGCGTGCCGTGTGCCAGCAGAGTTGGGCGCGCGCGGCGCGACGGCGCCCGCGAGGGAAGGCGCGGGTGCAGCGGCCGCCGGCGGCCGTACCGCTCGCCGGCCAGCGCAGCAGCGGCCAGCGCAGCGGCCGCCGGCGCAGCAGCCAGAGCAGCCGGTGCGCGCCTTGCGAGGCGAGTACTGCCGCCCGGCAGCCTTGAGAGGCGGCCAGGCGGCAGTACTCGCTCGAGCTTTGCGAGCCGTGCGCGCGCCGAGGCGCGCGCGGCGCGCGCCCGCCCGCGCCGGCTGCCAGTAGGAGGCGGCGCAATATGGCCTATAGTACAGCCCTTAGGAGGAGGAAGAGGCTGGCTGGCAGTGCTGTATGCCGCCGAGGGGGCAGTTTTGGGGTGCTGTCCCCATCCCAGGGGGCTGCAGAAGGCGTCCGCAACCGGGACAACCCGCCCCCCCAGCCGAGGCCGGTCGAAGCCCCCTTGACCACAGCCATGAGCAGTCCTCTTGGTGCTCCTGGCGGCCGTTCAAAGCTCGGGCGCGCGCCGAAGGGGGGGGGGGGGGGTCTTGCTTGCTCGATGCTCCACACCGAGCGCCATCGGTCCGGACCGGCGTGGTCATTGAGGGTAGGCCTGCACAAGGTCTGAGCCGCGGCCGCTCGGCGCCAAGTGCAGTGTCACGCTCGCACGCGAAGGGGACACAATGGGAAATCCTCGTTTCCTAGTCCGCGTTGCTTCCCTCGTCGGGAGTGTCCGTCAGGAGGGCGTCCCCTACTCGAGTATCATGTGGTCACCCCCCAGCCGTGGCCACAGTGTGCTCATTTGAAGCACGCTCGCAGTAGTTGCTGCGCTTCCGTCGCTCGCATGAGCCGCCATGCCGAAATTGCTCGCGCTGGCTAACCTCACCGCGCATCGCCGCCTCCAAACCGGAGACTACCCAACCTTCGGCTGCTCGCTCACCGAGGCGCATCGCGGCGGCCTCGCGCCAGAGCTCAAGACACAGCACTGCATAGAGCGGGAAGGCTACCTCCGCTACCCGGCCGATTTCCACGGGCTGCGCAACCGTGTCGAGCATTGCGTCGACCCAGGTCCGCCACAATGCCCCAAATACTTCTCTCTGAACTCCAAACTCCAACGCTTCGCCCTCTGACCGCTCGCTCCTCCGTCGCCGGACAGCGCGGGGCGAACGCGTGATCTTCTCCAACGGCGTGCCCGACCACGACATCGAGCTCCAGCGGCACAAGGCGAGGCCGAGCCCCTTTTGCGAGGCGAGGTACCAGGTGCGGATGCGCAGATGACACGAGACTACACGAGATTGCCCGAGATGACACGAGATTACACGCGGTACCAGGTGCGGATGCCGCTGCGGCCACGCTACGTCGGCGAGGTGACTGAGATCTCGAGCACGGAGCCGATCGCGTGGAGGCTCAACGGCGTGCCGCTGTACTCGTCGGCGTGGGCGGTCTGGAACCGCTTCATCTTCTCGAGCTACGCGGCGAGAGGCCACCAGGGGTCGTACACCTCCCTGTGGCACTACCACCTGCTCTGCGAGCCGGGACAGGACTGCGAGGCCCGCGGCGCTGTAATGCCGCCGCCCGAGGCGAGAGCTGCTCTAGCAGCAGCAGCAACAGCAGCAGCAGCAGCAGCAGCAGCAGCAGCAGCAGCAGCAGCAGCAGCAATAGTAGTGGTAGTAGCAGTATAGTGCCGTGCGGGAGGCAGCCTACTAGCGGTGAACAGGAGCTGCGGGGCGGCGCTGTGAAGAGGAGCTGTGAAGACCTCGAGCTGTTGAACAGGAGCTTCTCGCCTACTCGATGGACGGATTCGGCATCTCACGCCCCCCTGCCCCCACCCCCTCCTGGAGAGCCGAGGTCACGCGAGATCACGCGAGAGGACTGCTTCCATCGCAGGCATCTACGGCCCCCTCCCCTCCTGGAGAGCCGAGGCGGAGCTGGACGAGTGCAACGGCCGCTTCGTCAACGGCGAGTACCGCTACCACGCCAGGCACGCGGTATGCAGAGAGGTGGTGAACAGTCGGGCACGACATGCGCATGTGCGTGTGGGGCATGCGCCAGACGCTGCAGGGGGGGGACGCGAGCGAGACGTTAGAGACGGGCACACAGGGGCGACACACAGACACACAGACACACAGAGACGACACTCCGCCAGCTGATGCCACGCCAGGCTGTGGGCGGACATCGACTTGGCGAAGCCGTATTGCCGGCCGGGCGACCGACACAACAACTGGAACTTCGCCCTCGGCTGCTACCGCGGCGACCTCTCCCGCTCCGTTGTGTCTCGAGACTCGGGAGACCGTCGGAACCTCATCTGCGACGGCATCCCGACCCCGGCGGCCCCGCCCCCTCCGGCGCGCGTGCGGCGGATTGGCTCATGATTCAGTTCAGTACTGCTCAGTGATGAGAATGACTCGATGTTAGGCGCCGTGTGCGACAGACCCGCAGGCCTTCTGCGCGAAGTTTGGCGCCGCTTGGCTGCCGAAGGAGCGACACTACTGCTACAACACGCAGCAGGACTGCTACGAGACGCTCTTCCCGCCGCCGCCGCCGCCGCTTCCCGCGCCGCCGCCGCCGCCGCTTCCCGCGCCGCCGCCGCCGCCGTTTCCGTTCCCGCCCCCGCCGCCCCCCCTCGCCCGCCCGCCCCCCCTCGCCCGCCCGCCCCCCCTCGCCCGCCCGCCCCCCAACCCTCGTGCGGCGGCGCTGGATGCAGCGAGGCCGCCGCTACGCGAGACGCAGCGGCCCGTCCACGACACGTCGATGACATGTCCGAGACACGTCGGCTGTAGGACGCCGCTCAGCGAGCGGCTGGCCGCCCAAGCGCAGCGAGCTGAGCCGCCGCCCGGAGCCGCAGACTTGCTGCGGGGCGGGCTGGGCCCGTCTGCCGGCAGCCTCTCGGGGCAAGGAGCGGCCCCAGCTTCGTCATCGCCCTCGCCCTCGCCCTCGCCCTCGCCCTCCTCGCCCGCGCCGTCGCCGTCGCCGTCGCCGTCGCCCGCGTCGTCGCCGTCGCCGGGGCCCGCTTCTCCGCACTGGAGGCAGCACTACTACGCGCCCACCGCTGCAGCGCCGGCGGGGGCAGCGCCGGCGGCAGGGCAGGCGGGGGCAGCGCAGGCGGGGGCAGGGCAGGCCGCGGGGTCCGCGAGCCGCCGCTCCTCGTACTATGTCGCGGGCTTTGGGCAGCAAGGCGCGCCGCAGCACAGCGGCGGGAGAGGCGGAGGGAGACGTGGCTCGCTTCCGGCGCCAGAGACGCTCACCCACGGCTGGGCAACCCCCCACCCCCACCCCCCCACCCCCTCGACCGCACAGGCGCATGCAGAGTACGCGGGCGCGGCCCGAGACGTCGGGGGCGACTAGAGCGGAGGTCGCACGAGATCACTCCTAGATGCTGCTGCTTCCTAGGCGCGGCCAGCCGACCGGCGACTACGCCGAGCGGTGGGGCGTCAGCGAGGAGGAGTGTCGCCGCTTGTGCGACGAGTCTGCGGCGTGCCGCGGGCTGGAGATGAAAACCGACCGCCGCGTCGCGATGCAGCGCTGCGAGCTGCACCGGTGGGCGCCGACGCACACTCTGCCGATGCCGGGCTTCCTGTGTTTTGTCAAGGCGTGAGGCAGAGGCCCGCCGCGCGAGTACATTTTGGTGGCCCTCTTAGACTTCTCCAGTAGCGTGCTCTGTCAGTTGTAGCATGTGTAGGGCTGAAAGGGAAGGGCGTCGCATGTTTCCATTTTGATTGCCGAGATCGATTCTATACCCACACTAAAGCCGTACAGTCTAAAGGGGAAGGACCCTCAGTTGACCAGGGGTTGTGCGCCAGGCCCTCCTGCTCGGCTCCAGCCAGGAATCCCACTACCAAAGTAAAGAAGAAAAACGACGCGCACGTACATGGCTGCAAGAAGCGAGGGCAACGGACCGCTCGACGAGGAGGAGCTTCGCGCCGCCGTCGAGGCCTCTGGCCTTTCGCCGACCCGCTGCTCCGCACTGGCCGCGCCTCTCTTCGCGGAGCTTTCTCTCTCGCCGCACCTGGGAAGCGTGTCCGACGTCTTCCAGGTCCTCGTGGTCATCGAGGACGGGCTGCTCGGCCGTGCCGAGGCGGTGGACCTGAGTGAGCGCGTTCACCGCCTGCTTTCGGCCAACAGGGAGCGACGCGACGGCTGCGGCCGTCGGCGGCCAGCCGGCGGCACGACTGCCACGCAAGGTACTGCCTGCAGCCCAGCCGTGCAGCCCTCTGCGCTCGAGCGGCTGGCTTGGGCGCGAGAGCACAAGAGCGACGCGGACCGGTTCGAGCGCGACTATGCGCACCAGCTCACGGCGGGCTCTCGGCTCGTCGGCCTGAGGCTGCAGCAGCGGCCCTTTAGCGCGCTGGGGTTCGCCTCGACAGTGTGGGACAGCTCCGTGGTCCTCTCCAAGGCCATCGAGCGCTGGGCGGCGCGGGGAAGCGCCGGCCTCGCAGGCCTCCCGAGTTGTGTGTGTGTGTGGGGGGGGGGGGGGGGGGGCGCCATAGCATGCCACCCACTCTGACTGTCGCGGAGATAGGCAAGGCAGTGGTCGAGCTGGGGGCGGGGTGCGGCCTCGTCGGTCTCACCGCCGCCGCGCTGGGTGCGCACGTCACGCTCACCGACCTAGGGTATGGGTTCGGGTTAGGGTTAGGGTTAGGGTTAGGGTTAGGGTTAGGGTTAGGGTTAGGGTTAGGGTTAGGGTTGGGGTTAGGTGCGCACGTCACGCTCACCGACCTGCCCGAGAACGTCCCTCTCCTCGCCGCCAACGTCAGCGCCAACCGCGACGCCGTCGCTCCGCCCGGGAAGCCGCCGCAGACTCTGCAGGCGCCGCAGCCGTTGGCTCGAGCACATGCCCGAGGGTCGGAGATAGACCGAGACGGACCGGTGTGTCCCGAGGTTAGGCGCGCAGCCTCGACTGGACCGCGCCGCTGCCAACCGACCTCGCAGCTTCCGCTGACTTGATCGTCGGCACCGACCTCCTCTACCTCGGCTGCCCCGCTGCCAGGAACCGTCCAGGAACCTTCCGGGACCCTTCCGGGACCCTTCCTCCCTAGGCACCGACCTCTTCTACCACGGCTGCCCCGTCGAGGACCTCGCCAGCACTCTCGCTTCCCTCGCCAGACCGGACGCGGAGGCCCGCTCTGCCCCCGTCGGCCGTTTCCGTCGCCTTTCCCCCGACCCTTCCGCGACCTTTCCTGCAGGCTTGGCTCGCCGTCGGCCGCAACCGCGGCGGGCTCGACGCGTTCCTCGCCGCGTCGCTTGGCTGGTCGTCTCGCCTCGCCGACCGCGCCACGGAGCTCGACCCGCTCTACCAGCTCGAAGACGTGGACGTGCTCGTCCTGCGCCGGGCAGGCGCCATATCTCCCCATATCTCCCCATATCTCCCCATATCTCCCCATTTCTCGTCCTCCGCCGGGCAGGCGCCGGCCTTGCGGCGCAGCGCCCTCGCCGACTGATCTTTGCGCTCTGCGGTCAGCCCAACAAGGCCGGCAGGGCCCGCTCCTTGTCGCCGTCCGCAACGCTTCCTGATTGGAAGCAGGCCAGTCCAACATGGCGGGCAGGGGATCGCTGCTCGAGGCGGGCGTCGCCGCGCCGCCGCCCGACGCGCGCATCAGCGCATTCTCGCAGGAGGGCGGGGAAGAAGAGAGGTGGCGCGTCGCGGCGGGGGCCGCTGCACGCTCACGCCGGCCAAGGCTGGCGAGCAGCCTTCCCCGAGGCTTCTCGGAGCCGTGTCGCGATAGGCTGACCCGCTGCACGCCGACAAGCCGGACAAGGCGCCGGGGGGCGGGGCCCGGGGCGGGGGGGGGGGGGGGGGGGGTCATC